TGGCTAGTTTGGTGCATTTGCAAAGTTCTAGTGACTTGTAAGAATATTAGTTTTTCTTTTTTTCTCTACTCTTCTTATCTCTATATTATTTTCTTTCCCTTCATATAAAACCTAGTCTTTTTTCCTTTTATCTTTCTTAACTAATCTTTTCTTAAACATTATGCTGCTCTATTTGGTCGATTTCTTATCTTTTTGAAACTCTTGTTTAACACATCTATTATTTTTATTTATGCATACTGCTTTAGCTAGTTCATTGTACCAATTCACAACTTTGTCTTTACTTGTTTTTCTTGGAAAACTTTGATCTGTTGCTAGCTTTATAAAAATTTGCCCTTTGTATCTAAAAGTTGTTCTATGTAGAATAGATTTAATTTTTTAAAGTTTTTAGCTAAGTATGCTTTTTCTACTTTATATAGTATTTCTCTAATAGTAGCATCTTCTCTAGAAATATATACAAACATTCGTTCATATTGAAGCTAATCTCCAACTCTTTAGCTTTAACTAGAACTATATATGCCAAGTTATTTTTTCAGATTTTATGCAAACTGTCATATTCATAGTCATTTCATAATATTTTGCATAGACCAGCATCGAGGAGGTCTTGTTTGATTCGTATTTGAGCTAATATACTCTTGCTACTTGCATTATTAAGTCTATTTTGCAGTGATATTATTTGCTTTGTATACAGTTCTTGAACTAAAGACTTGCAACTACCAATATTTTTGTAAGTTATAACAAAATTTCTTGTCAGTCTTGCTTGTTCTAGCTTGCTTTTAACAAGTTTTATATATAGCTGCTAAATTTTTTGTAGTGAGGTCTTACTTAGCTTAGTCATCTGCAGAATATAACTTAGCTTTGGTATCAAGACCATATTGTTAATATATGCTAACTGACTGATTGTCATCTTCTTCTACTGTAAAGTAAGTATTGTTTGTTAAACAATCTCTTTTGCTTTATTTTTAATTAATAACTCTTTCATTTTGCTGCTAAGCCAAATTCCCAACATTTTGACTACTTCATTAACTTTAGTTGCTTTAACTTTATATTGGTTAATTTATATTGTATCTTCTTTTTTTTTTTTGTTCATGATTATTAGCTTATACTTGATTTGAATGCCATTAATTATGAAAAATTCTTTAGCTATTTTTATAATATTCTCTATTTCTAATCTACTTTTAGCAATTCATGTTGTGTCATCAGCATATGCTATTGCTGCTTGATAAACTCTTTATATTTTGACAGTGTTTGTGCTAAAGTATTATGAAACCTGAACTTCAGCTTCATAACCTAGGCTTAAGTTTTCTTTTACTTTGACTAGAAGCGGGTCATAGAAAATTTGCCAAATTATTGGTAATATCATCTCACCCTGATCTATTCTATCATCTGCTACAAAGGGAGCTGATAGACCAAAATTGATGATCACACTTATACAATGCTTGTAAAACAGATTTATAATAAATTTGATCTCTTTTTTTAGTATTTTAATTCTCATTAGTGCCAGTTTAAGAGTTTCTAGTAAAACTGAATCATATGCTTTTTGCATATTTTAAAATAAGATCTAAATTTCCTTGTTTTTTTCTTTTGCATCTTCCATTAATACATTTATTATTTGAATTAGGTTTTCTGTTGAATCTCCTAGAAGAGCAGCATAATTTGGACCTTTAAAAACTTTCTTGTCTTTGATTATTTTAGTAAGACACTTTGTATAAATCTTAGTAATACACTTTTTAAATATTTCTAATAGTGTTATTGGCCTAACCTTGGCTAGGTTAAGTTCTTAGTCTAAGCTTTTGGGAATTGAATACAATTGGGCTATCTTTCACTTTTGTAGTATTTCTCTTTTTTGGAACACAGGTTTGCAAAATATCTAAAGATGTTATGTGTTTTTGTATTTGCCTTCTTAATAAAAGTATAACTAATACCTAATATGCCAGGTACTAAGTTGTTTTTGATTTCTTTTAATATTTGATCTCACTCTTCTTTTTTGATTTTGTCTTCTAAAGATTTATACCAGATCTTCTAAATTCTATCTTGTAATTTGTAAATTTTACCCTAGTTATTTTTAAAAAGATCTATATGTGTTTTTTGTTTTTGAAACTGGGTTTGAAAGTGCTTGTTAGTTTCTTCTAAAACTTTATTCAGGTTCATTACTAGTCTTGTAGCATTGTTTTCTTTTACAAGCAAGCGATTGATTTGGATCTTCTTGAATGGTCTCTCTAGCAAACTAGCAATCATTTTCCCCTATTCATGTTTTATTCTCTTATATTAAATATTAGTATGCTTAAGTAATTCATTTCGCTTGGTCTTTTTTTTTCGATGAGCCAACGAGATTTAAGTATCTTCTACTAGCCCTTAATATCATCAAATACTTCTGTATCTGTCATATTTTCAATTAAAGGAATACTTGTCTCTTGTCTTTTGTTAACTTCTTTAATAGCATTATTAATCTCTTCTTGGTTGGAAGTTGTCTAATAGTTTGTATTTTTAAGCAATTGTAGGATTTTACTAAGCTTAATAGTGTCTTGTAGCAATGTAGATTATTCTTTTTATGACTTTTTCTTTTTGCTTGTAACTGTATTAAGAATTCTTTTAAAGAGTATGTTTTTGTTTGCTGCTTGAGTTATTTCTTCAGCTATTGCATTCCAACAATTATCTATTTGATTGACAGCCTTTGAGTCAGTGTTGTTTTCTAGATTTAGCATTTTCTGTATACTTTTCTTGCTTTCAAGATAATTATATAGGTCTTGTTTGTAGTTTTCTCAATCACTTTTAAAGGCTTTGTCATATATAAAAATTTTTCGTAGACATTTTTTCCTCTTTGTCTAAGCTGCATAGATGAAATGCAACAAATTTTCTAGTATAAGTTTAGCAAAAATTAGTCTATAATTGCTATTTGTAATAAAGTCTGCGTTATATATCTCAGCTTTTTGTGTAGTAATAGATAGGTTTTCTAATACCCATATTTGATCAATTCTTGTTCTTTGTTTACTATTTGACTATATAAATACTTTGGTGTATGGGTTTAGAATTCGAAATATGTTATGAAAATCTTGATTTTTTAATCATTTATATAATGGTAGTTTTTTTTTGTTTGCTATTGGACTATCACTTAATCGGTCCAATTCTAAATCTATTATATAGTTAAAGTTTTCTATTATTATAAACTGTGAGACAATCTTTCTTTTTATAAATCTTTGTATAACTCGTTGTTGTATCTTTTTCTCCTGCTTTTTGTTATTTGGTAAGATATATATTATTAGAATTGTTATCTCTAGTTGCTTAAAGAAGAGTATTATTTCTATTATATATTTATCTATATATATGACTCTTGCAGCATGTTCTGCCCAGTCTCTTCTTACTAATAACTCTACTCCTGAGCCCTTTTTTTTGTCTTT